TTGAAAACCACTGCATTATAGTATAATAGTTTAAATACTTCATCCGCTGCTATGACACAATCTTACTGCGAAATATACACGAACCCAAGACCGGATTAGAACAGTAAACTATTGCCGCATAGCTGTTACTCCCGCTAATATAAGCTACCTTTCACTAAGTGTGAAAATCGGTGCAACTGTTTCGAAGATTACTCGAAACAAACACGAACTTGTGGACAGACAGACAAACATTTAATAAGAATTGTTTTTCTGTTATAAGCATCGCAAATATATTAATACATTACTACATTTTTATTTACATATTCTAAAATGGTTTAATTTTAGTCTCATAGTTTTGTGACTCCGTATTAATAAATTGTTGTTGACATATTGATTTGAGTGACATCTCATTTGTGAAGTTAGCAGATTTGACGGTACTTTAGCAGCAATTTAGCACAATTATTAACGTATTTTTTTGTCCCGGAGGCCTTATATAGTCCTCTTTCCTTTCCCACCCTGTCTCTTATAAGGAAAGGATGGGAAGTGGAAGTGGACTTTCCGGATAAGAGGATGCATGGAAAGGGAAAACATTTTCTTTCTGTGCATCCTCTCCTCCGTCGATGAAAGGTAGGCAACGCATATGCAATTGCGTATGTCTATGGGCAACGGTCATTTTCGCTATTTCAGCGATTTCAGGTGGCCGCTCGCTCGTTTGCCACATTCTAATGTAAAAAAAAAATAGTATAATTTATATAATTTGTGATATGTAAATATGGAGTACTGTCATTAAATTATGTTCTTGACCTGTGTATGTACCCTTATTTACAAATAGTACAAAATCCCTTACTTCCTTTGGTGTTTATTTATTGGTATAATACGTTTAATTATTAAGGAATTGAAATAAACAATAATTTGGTTTTTTACATATATTTGCTTATATACACCAACATTTAAATATATAATACTAACATCTAATAAATATAAACTAGACATTAGCATAACACGTGTAATATCAGTTATAGTTTGACCACAAATATAAAAACCATCGGTATACTACAAAAAGATATAGCGAACTAATTTGCGCAAGTTGGAAAGTGCTGTAATTAAGTCGATTGATGCGCCTCCAGTCCAGGATTTCTATATTCTTGGTTAGACTATAATTATAGATAAGAATTTTCGTTATAATTTTAAACATTCCGAGCTAAATATGTATAGAATTCAAAACGCTCAATAATATGTATTTGACAAAATGGAAACATTGAGAATATAATCTGGGACTTTGCAATTTAATTTATTATTATTTAATATAATAAGTAAGCAGTACATATACAATATTAACGTGCGTTATCACTGCTCAAAAATCTATGTAAAAATCTGTTGGTTTAAGCAGTTATTTCGGCAGTGTAAATTTACGGTTAGTAAGCAATAAATAGTTACATTTAATTTTATTTGTTATATTTCTTGGTGTGAATTTGTGTTGTGAAAAAACCAAAACAAAAGCAAACAATCAATCAGTATTTCTCTTTACAATAGTTATTTGGTTTAAATTAAGTATACAAGGCCTTGTAAAGGTTGTAGAATTTTAAAATTGTCATTTTGTGACAAAAAAAAATTATAATAATGCTATAGAAACTTGTAAGTTATGGAATTAAACTAATGAAGGTAATAAATTGTTTTTTCTTTTACATAATAAGCACTATTTTTTATTAATATAAATAACACGAATATCTATGTCATGGAGTAGAAAATATGGATGAGCCTTAACCTACTTGTAATCATCTTTTACTATATAAACGTGGATTTCCACTGTACAAACGCCCGAACAAGTATACGCATAACTAAAACAATTATTCTACTGAAGCTTCAAAAAGCTACATTTAATTATTTAGTATATACAAATGTATAACTAAATCATTTTGGATACTTTTCTTAAATAATAAAGCATTATTAAAAGATGCATATATCTCAATCTTTGGCATAATATATAGTAAAGTCAAACCAGGATATCTGAACCGGTGAGAGGCGCTGCTATCGCGGTTGGTTCTGTCATAATATATATAAAACCTACTTAGTTGTAGTAAATGACATAAAAAAAACCTAACATCTACAGCACAAAAATCATTTTTTGACATTGACAGGAGGGCGCTAGTGAGCTGTCATACTTTAGTTAGCCTTATGTCCATCGGGTCAGAAATCCTTGTCGATCTATATTGACATTCGACGCTCAATGCACCTTCTACAGCGTAAGTTCAGACTATTCCAAAAAGCTTAAAACTAAATAAAAGCTATAACACCAACAACGATTTGTGCTGTTAAATATTTGTGCCTATTAACTATTTTTCTTTATTTAATAATACATAAATGTTATTTGAACACGTTTTTAACAAAAATGTATTGGATAAAAGAACTATTATAAAAAAAAAGTTTTTTGGCATAGTTACTATTCAGTGAACTTTCTTTCAGTTTACATTGAATTTGTAACAAGGAAAATAAAATCTGTCGTCATAGAATGGGACAGTAATTTAAAAAATTAACAGCAAAATACATCTCATCATCAAAAAAAAATACAACTACAAAAATTATATAGAAAATAGAAATTTCATAAACATTTTTAAACATTCAACATTAATAAATATAACAGACATAAATGATAGCTTCATAACAAATAGCATTTTCCTCATTTAACATATGCAATAAATAATGAACCTCCACATAACCCTAAGACCACTTACATTCTTTGTGTCTACAAATTTTGTAAAAACATGTTTGTACTATGAAAGTTAAATAAAAAAACCCATAAAGCGGCAAAAATAACCACACGTTACTTCACAATTACAATATTTCTAAGGTAAATATGAAATTGCTAAATGACCCCTGTGTACAGAATCTAACGTTGGTATGTTTATAATATTTAGGCGTTCTTTTAGATTTGTCGAAATGGGTTTGTTGTAAACTTCATCACAGAAACCGGACTTGCATGAAGGTGGAGTAAAAATGACCGTATTACGGTGATATAATTTAAAATCACGGATCCCGCCTAGCAAGTTCGTCGTCGCAGATGATGGGCTTACGGTCGTCACCTTTGGAGCCTCGCGCAAGGCGGCCGACGCGGCGCGCGATGGCACTAGTCTTGTCGACGGCGCCCCAGCCGCGAGCGCTGCCGCCTCCGCCGCCGCTGCCAGAACGCGACAGCAGCCCCACACCCTCGCCCAGCTTGCTGTGATGGATGCCGTACAGGAAGTACAGGAGAAGACCTGCAACAAACATATTTACTCAACACCGCATAACAATACCATAAAGTGGAAAGTGAAAAGTTGCACATACGATAGAACTTAATTTTACGCAAAAAAAATAGTTCACCGAAAGTCATCCAAATAGCGAAGCGTGCCCAGGTGAGGCCCTTGAGGTTGACCATCAGCTCGACATTAAGAAGTACGCTGGCGGCGGGCAGCAGGGGCACCCAGGGCACTCGGAACGGTAGCCGCGTAGGGCTCTGCTGGTGCGCCCAGATCACCACCAGACCTGCAATTATCAACAATACATATTATATGGTAACCCTTGAAATGAATAACCACAAAGTCTTCACCAAGAATTTAGCTTGACTGCACATCTCTATAAAATACTTACATGCGATAATAATACAGCTGAGCACAACATCGGGTAGTATCGCCCACAGCCCTGCTGGCTCGGCTAGGAAGTGATTGTGTACACAGAGTGCGGCGGCGGCGATCGTAAAGACGTAGACGCAGGCGGTGACTGCGCTACCCGGCGCGCGCCCTCCCACAAGCGGCTCCAGCCACGCGTACTGAGCACGCAGGCGACCCACTGTCAGCGCCTCGAACATCTAAATACATAGAATAATCTAATAGACAAACAATAAATCTAACTGACTATGCTAATCTCTGTGATACACCAAAGAAGAATACAAATCGTTTGACTTCCCACACTTCACCGCATCAATGTATAAGCGAGGAGAATATCACAGCCGTATGTAAGGTAAAACATTGATAAATATCTGTCAAAGTATACTCAATTACCTCAGAAGATGAAGATCCATTATCAGTTCCAGGAGTTCCTGTGGCGGAGCTATCCTCGCGATCACACGGCGAGTCTAATTGCGGCACGCAGAAGCTTTTGTCTTCTATCGTGGGGGTCGGCCGGTAGCGTAGGATGATTACGGCAGCACTGACAATAGTATATGCCAACAAAGTTCCTATCGACATAAACTCAACCAATTTCTCCAAATCGAACAACAAAGCTATTAGTGCTGAAGAAAAGCCAGATATAATGAGATTAGATATCGGAATTTGAGACTTATTGTTGCTCATATCACTGAGGAAACCAAACAACAAGCCGTCAACAGACATAGCGTACAGGCAACGAGGTAAGGAAAACAACGATCCTAGCAATGTAGTCGTCATCCCACACACCGCTCCAACTGCCACCGCATACTTTGCCCAGTCGGCGTGAACAGCGCCCAAAGCGGCCGGTAGAGCAGCATCAGGGTTAATAGTTTGATAAGGTACCATAAGTGTCAACGCTATAGCAACAAGAATATATCCCACAGCAACCAAACCCATCGACATAATAGTTGCAATCGGAATAGATCGCGATGGATCCTTTGCCTCTTCACTAGACGCAGAAATACTATCAAAACCGACAAATGCATAAAAGCAAGTGGCAGCGCCTGCTAGTACACCGCTGAAGCCGTACGGCATAAATCCTCCGTTTTTCTCGGACCAGTTACTGATATCGGCATAGTAAAACCCAAGAAATATGACCAGTGTTATCACGAGAAGATTCAAGATTGTCAGACCATTATTTATGTATGCAGAGG